TATTGGATATTGAAGGGATATTCAATATTGATAAGCGTAGCTCGCTCTATTGGAGCAAATATTTCGACGGCAAAGTTTGGAGACAATATTAAGAAATTTCAATATTGTTAAGTGCTTTCATAAAGAACTCTCCCCCAATAAATTAAATATTGGTTTCAAATTCACTAGAACTATCGGGGAATCTTGCTTTTTAGAAAAATCCTGTATACTGCTTAGATACTAGATGTTCACAACGGTCAGACTTTGAAAAACAAAAATCAACAAGACAGCACTTTCTTGCTACCCAGGTCTCACAAAACGTCTACACTACAAATACGAGATTGTAATTTACTGCGTAAAAGTACAAATGACAATCCACGTTTTCGGCATGAGGAAAAAGTTTCTTGTCAAAAAATCGGGTACTTTTTCCTGCAGCATTACGTGCGATCTTTATCTTCCTTCATAGTAAATACAGGAGAAATATTATATGAAAGAAATACCTTTGCTTTGAACATGAATGCATTTTCCCTCTTTCTATCGCTACCACCAAAGCTTTCGTTAATATCATTCGATTGACGTATCTGAGGCGGCGTCTTTCAACATGGGTGGCGGTTGTATTTAGTTTTGTCACCTTAGGTCAGTACAATAGTGTACTATTACGAAAAAGAAATTGTACACAGTTCCTTACGTATGGTTGTTTTCTAAGGTGAAGTTGGGTAAAGGGCAGTTCCCGGTCAATCTCAAGGAGGCTATTTAAACTCGTAAAGCACGTGGAGTTTCCTGATTGGTCACGGAAACAAATATCTCTAACGTGTACATGGTTTCTGAAGTGCTTTTCGTCTTACAGATTAGAAAGATTATCGAAGGTTAATGTCTTAAGGAAAGGCTAGCTTAATATGAACTCTTATTGCGCGACTGGTAAAGTAAAAGTAGATAAATCTTATTTTTATGAATAGTAAATTGCTTCCTCTGTCACGTTGTGCAGCCCGAACTCATGTTATGTGAGACCTTGATACCGAAATATAGATTGATGGCAAAACGTCTGTTTGCCTGCCCGTCCGTCTATTCGCCGGTGGTCATCGCTAGTACCTAAGGGACTGTCCATAAATTACGCAAGGCAAATTTGGAGTATTTTGAGTATCTCACCTCCTCCTTGTAACGCGCGCTTGAACTCTCCCTAAATAATTGCGTAACTCTTGCGACAAGACCCCTCTCCCCATTTTCAATGCGTTAAAATAAATTATAAAGCAGTAACAATGAGTTTTGAAAACAAAATTTATGATAATTACGTCAGAATTCGTTGGCGATGCGAACTGCGCCTGACAGCAAAATTGGGGACACTTTTTGAATGAAGGGCGAATGAAGGCCGCATGGACGAAAAAAATCCGACAACAAGCCATGCACACTCCGTCGTGGATGACGTATGGGCGCCGAATCTATTTATAATTGAATTCTGGAATATGCTATAGATCAGTTGTGAATATTTTCATCATAACCTACCATATTAAATATACAATTTATATTTAAAAAAATCATTTCAAAATAATTTAAGCATCATAATGTTAACACATATGTGCCGGAGCAGACTGCAGACAATTTCTAGCCGAGTTGGGCGCTCCATGTTAAATTCAATTGCTGGAGCGCTAATATAAATTTCCCGCGTCCCACTTTAAAAAATATATTGAATTTCCCTCTGGCTGCGCTAAGTCAAACTTCCTCGCCGCATCGCCAGGGTGAAGATAAGCCAGGGTGCTGTACCGCCGCCGCCCACACCCCCCTTCACTAAAGCAAAGGAATGGGGGGGGGGAGGGGGGAGGGCTGCTTACCGTTTGGGACGTGGGCGAGTGACAGCGGTGTGGTATATTCGGAGCAGCTGTCTTTGTGGCGTGGCCTGGCGATGGGATGGGCTGAGACTCAACTGTGGAGAAAAATCACCCCTACACTGATTGCCCGCCACTGAGGGGGACTGAAAATCGCGGCGTGCTGCGAGGTGCTACTGAAGAGTTACAGGAAGTTTCACTATGTTCTGTGGTCGTCCCGTCGCCTCTGTCTATCTTACAATTATTTATTTACCTGATTTACATACTACCTTGCTATCCAAGCGCTCTGTTCATTACAAATTTTAAACTAATAATACTTCTGGTACGAGCGGCGTTGCCACTGGAAAATCTATACTGGGTCGTGTTACTGAATTTCCCCCCTGAACAGGATAGAGAAAATGATATTTCTCATTATCTATTGGTATTGGACGGAAAAATTATCGTTGTTGCAACCCAAAGGAGAAATAAACATTGTTCAATTTACATTCAGCCCCGTATTCAGCGGTACAGCTTATTTATTCGACGGCGTCAACCCACGCCGTCGCCCCTTTCCACCGTGACTGTCGATAAAATCAGTACATACAGAAAGAAACTCCCTTTTTTCTTCTTTTTACAATTACAAAATATCTAATTCAACATTCACACTTACTGACAAACTATTTTCGCTATTCACATGCACATCGTGCACGTCACAGTTGTAATGGTTACCTACGTTGTTCCGAATTTTACAGAAATCTAATACAATACTTGGTCTTCCTATAAAAGTTTTGCCATACGCGCTGGTAATATCTTCCTAATATTCACTTCCCTTTAGGCGATAGTGTTACCGTCGGCTTGTCAATCCACTCCTTCCCTCAGCTGGGCTCGTCGTTCCAAACTTTTCACGCAACCTATTAAAATGCCATACTTCTGGCTCCCGTCCTTTTTTTTACTACTACCGTCAGTACATGCTCCCCGTCCCCCCTTTCTCTGATAAAATTCACTCTCAAAAAACATGAAAACTTGCCAACACAGGCCACACCATGTTATCGGCTCGCCTCTATCATGCCTCTGTGTCTTCTCCAGTCAGTCTAGTCTTTCGATTGTTTTTTCAACAAAACAAAAACACTCGCATACCTATGACACCAAGATCTTTTGGAACATTTTATATTTCCGTTACCTTTATTATGATTTGGCACTTTTCAAAGGTTCTTAAAATTTTGCCTTTTTATTCGCCCCAATGTTTATCGCTCCCTGATTCACCTGCTTTGCCAAAATTCCAACTTATTTCGAAAGCTACTTACATCAGTTCCCTATATTCAATTGTATGTCCTTGTAAGTATCTTTCTGCTTTTCAAGTTTTCCCTCTAAATTTGTGTGCCCCCTTTTCGAAATGCTTCCGGATGACTATAAATTTATTTATTTTCCTAACACTTGTTTTCTAGTTCGAAAGTTTCCCTGTTATTAAACGAGAATATAAAATTCGAGTCTGCGTTCACTTTGTCATGTGTTTCTTCTTCTACCGACTTATTTAGTAAAACATTATGTTCCTCAACAAAAATATTTTTATCAGTTTATTGGACTGGGGTCCTGCGTACAGTTACAGTTCTTTGTAAATGTTTTTACCCCTCAACTACCAGTGTGCCTATGCTGGAGTGAATATCTCAGAGAGTTTTTAGTGTCTAGAGCAGGTAATTTTAATTGATTTGCAATTTTTGTTACCTTGGAGGTTATTAATTATTTCTGTGTAGTGTAATGTGTAGAAAAATTTAATATCAGGTTTCGGTTTTGCGATCCAGACAATGGTATGTCCTCAGAAAATAAATTCAACATTTGTTCTCGTTGGAAATAATGTTCCACTTCAATTGTATTTACCTTTCTCATCATTGCTTTGGAAGATGTTAAAAGTTCAGCTTTTTCTTTACACACACATTTAATTTATTTATGTTTTATATTTAATTTACTATTATTTTAATGTTTTAGTATATGACTGAATAAAATAAATTATTTCAGTAAATATTGAAAATTTTTAGAAATATCAGAATTACGAAACACTAAACAATGACCTCCTAACCCTATGTAACACAGCGCAACGCTGACTCACCCCTCCTTTAGCGTGACAACCCCTAAACCGTTCAGATGATTTTCTCCAAAATTCTATTCTCCGATGAGTCTGAACGAGCTCATGATCCTGCGAGTTTCAAACTGAATATTTTGATTTGGAGGTACTTTTCTTGAAGCCTCACCAATATTTTCATTTTTTTATACCTTGAACATCAAATCAAAGTTGGTATCAATTAACTAAAAACATACATTTTCACACATTTCAAAGACGATAATGTATGAGGGCATCTCCCTTCCGCCGCTTGTCGAGGGCTTTTTTGCTTTGCTTCTGAACATGAAGTTTTTTCTCTCCCAAACATCGCATAGCTTGTTTTCAAGTATTTAAAGACCGAAATATCTAATAATTAAAGTTGCGTATTTTTGCCCTTTTCCCTTGAGTGGAAAACACAGTATTTTAGGTTACTTATTCATTTTGAGGCATATGGAGTATTATACGCAATTTTATAGTGCCTATAAATGCCTATTTTACAAATAAATGCCTAAATGTTGCATATTCTCGCCTATTTATTGATAAAAAACATTATCCTTAATCAGAAATTTGTACTTTTTTGCATTTTTATCCTGCAGAGTATAAAGAAATCAATCAACTATCGATGAATCCACCTTCCATTTTACTGCCATCACAGTGCAGGTATTTTGCATAATGAGAAACTCGGAAAACCGATGATGGTAGTAGAGTAATTTTTTACCTCTTTTAAGTAACAATGTTTTCTTAAAATTTTATCCTTGTATGTATCAAATGACAGTAAAACAATTGGTGCCAGTTCCATTTTTCCAACTTAATTTTTGAAAGTTGCAAATTTTGAAATATTTTTTGATATAGGTAATGCATGAAAGTGTTTTGTTGTAACACCACTAGTTACATTTGTTATGTATGGTGGTTAAAACAATTTTTTAAAATCTTATATGTTTAATTTTTCAATTGTTTAAATTAAATGTAAAAAAAAGTGTCACACTGCAACATAGAGCATCATCTTGTATTTAATGAAAAGCAAAAAAAAGCTACTGCGTATCAGCCTATTTTGATTTGCCGAACAGTGAAAGAAAGATTTCTATGAGGATTTATCAGAACAATGATAAAAGCAAACGTTCCATGAAGGTAACTAGTACTCATTGTGTTCACTTCAGAAACTTTCAACAAAGTACAGAAATAAGGAAAAGAAAATACTATAGTGCTTTTTTAAATACATATTTTACATTTTTAAATGCATATTTCTAGTTTTCATGCCTATAAATCTATAGCTTACTAATAATTAATAGAGCTCATGGACTGCCCAGTCCACCAAGAGTATGTTGAGGGCTCATTTTATAGTCTGAGGAGTGGATTCATTTCTTTTAAAAATGTCAAATTGGCCTCTTATTTCTTTTTATTCAACTAAATCTTTACAAACTATCAGAAAAAATAATCAGTATTCCTTTCATACAATGGTGTTCAGGATATTGTAGGGCACAGAAATGCAGACTCTCTAATGTCTCTCTTCTAGATGACAAAAATATGCTAAACATGATACTTTTCAACCTTCATTTAGCATTAAAATATTATTATCCAGAATTTTCATTTAAGGGTTTTAAAAGTTTAGAAATTTGGAGGATGCCGTTGCCTCTAGGAAAACCAAAAAATAACAAAGAATTTCAAGGAAAGTTGGGGAAAAAAAACTTTTTGGAATCGATGTATCACCAGAGCAAAAGTATTTATTAAGAATTTTTTTTAATGCTTTATAAAAATATTACAATTATACTCTAAATGCACTTAGAAATGAAACAAACTGTAATAAATTACAAAATTTATTTCATTTATAAATTGGTAACATATCTTATGAAAACATTAACCTGCATCACACTTGTGCATCACACACAACCACACAAGAAAGAAATGAAATCAAAATAAGAATCACTGGTTGTGAAATTAGGTGATCTGATATTAGTTATATGTAAATAGATAAATATTAAAATGATGCAATCTAAAAAGACCCAATCAATTATAGAATTAATAATTTTTGCAAAACTGCATAGACAATATTACCATTATGCTTCTAAAGAAAGAAATATAACTGTCCATGTATGTAACACATTAGTTCAACAAATATCTTAAACTAATTTCAAAACAAGTAAATTTATAATAGTCATTTAATGAGTTGTCAAATTTTTATAAGATAAAACACACTACCTGTCTCTTAATGGATATACTACAATTTGTATTTGAAATAAAAATACATTAACAAAAGCATGATCTCTATAATTAGTGCAATACCTAAAAGATTCTTCCAAAATAAGAATTATCATTCATATACAAACTTTAGCAATGTTTCCTTATAATGAAATTAAACACACTGCTTCTAATAAGAGTTTGTGTATGATTAATCCCTCTCCTTTGTATTATATATTGCATAAATACTTTCTAATTCATTAGGCCAACAAATCCAGGCTTCCCCCTCTGTATAAGCAAAAATATTCTTTAATAAGGTGACAATTTTGGCAACTGTTAAATCATCATCACCATCCATAAATGCTTGAAGTCCCATGTAAGTATATTCATTATTTTTGAAAATTTTTTTCAGTCTTACTAAACACTGTTCTAAAGCTACATATGACATTAAATCATCTTTGCGTTTCTTTACAATAAGAATACATATCATTTCACCCAATTTAGTAACTTCCAGAACATCACCCATATTTTTTGGTTTTGTTTTATAATCATTAATGAACCTAAACTTTTCGTCAAGTTCTTGCATGGTTGCATCTACATAACCACATTCTGATCCAAAAACCACTAGAAGTGTAGAACGTTCTATATTAACAAGCCTCATTAAATGATTAGTAATATATAGGCCCTTCGATGACTTTTTAGTGGGATGATCAGATGTCTGCATCTCCTAGAAAGATATTATCATATCAGATTTGAAATTTTACGACTGTCACATCTTTGTCATCTTTTCAACTATGACAAATATGATGAAATGTTTGTTCTGCTCAGTAATCAATGTTCATTGAAATTGTAATTGAAATCCATTGTAAATGATGAACACTGTTGACAGAGCAGAACATACCTTCAATTGTACAGTGAAACCTGCTCAAATGGCCACCTCTTGATTACGTAATCATCTCCAAAAACTGCTTCCAAGTTTTCTTTCTTTCATGGATTCAATTGATTTTTCCAATAATTCAATGTAAATACTCTTTTCAGCAACCAACAGCCAGGCACGTTTTGTAGATTGACCTTTCTCACAAGGGACTACTTTCAATTTCAAGTAACAACAGAGCTTTTTAGGAAATAGATACTCTTAATGAAACTGCAATGCATTTGTTTCTCCAGAACAACACAGAACTCCTAAGGTTTGCTAACTTGTGCTTCCCTTTTGTGGAAATCTAGCTGTTAGATCTCAGGACACATCACACAAACAAATCAAATCCAAAGGTCATTTGCTAACTCCTTTGTCAGACGGCTATTATTTAGTTTCCAAGGCAATATTTGTATCTTTTATGTCTTGTTTCTTTGATTCAACAAGAACACCAAGTGAGTCTCTCAACTAAGAGGTTTGACAAGTTAAGGGTGTGTTTTGTAATTAGCTGAGAGGTGACAAAATATCCTAAATACCTGGTTTATCTCTTTAACATTGGTAATTAAAATGTGAAAACATACTTCAATTCACAGCAAATAGTAAATTTGATTTGATTTATGCTTCCAGTTACTGCGATAAAGTGGCCACATCTATAAACAACCAATTTTTGGTGTAACCATTAGTGATCAAGTTTTATACAGGTTTCATTGTATTTGATTTAGCCATTAAGGTGATAAGAATGGTGGAAATTAAATATAAAATATATAGACTCAATAAGCAGTTCAATGCATAAGATGTCTTGATGGGTAAGTGGTAGAACAATTGGGCATACACCAGGAGACCTGGATTTTATTCCTAGGCAGGGTAACTTATACTTTGAACTATTTACATATTTTCACCTAGATATCATTTATCCTAATGTAATTAGAATGTTGGTTGTATGCTAGAAAAAATTGGGAACAACTTCATAAAGATATGCATAAAAATAGCTTTTTCATATTTGCAATAAGACATTTTGAGTTTGCGTTCAAATCAATACTCATACTGCGACAAACTCTTTCTTTTGCAATGAAATGACTGGTATTTATTGAAGCACAGGGATACACCGACACAACATTCCTAAAATGAATGATGTCACAATAATGTAATGTAATTACAACTTTCTCTTTCATTCTACAAAGCATGTTTGAATTACAAAATAATTCCTTCTCTAGCCAAGTTGGCTTCTAAAGAACTCCAGTCAAACACATGAAATACAAGAGGTCTGAGAAGATGAAGACAGCAACATGTTGAAAGTAGTAAAGCAAATTACAAGGAACCTAACATATAGTAGGATTGTCCAACTGGAAACCTGTGGTGCATTTTTTTTTGGCCTGCAAAAGATTTCTAGTGAAAAGAGAAAGTCTCTTTCATTCATATTGGGTGAGAACATTGTACGCCTAGCACACACACTCTGACGAGGCCAACGTCCCCTTTAATGTAAAAAATATATAAGATTAGATTTGTGGAAATTTTTCTAGTAAATTTAGAAATTTTAAATCATTAAACGCATTTCACTGTGTTATGCATGATTCAGTCTGATATCATGCATGGTTGCACACACGCATGCACACGTGCGTGCTCACTCCCCATACATACACAAACGCATGCCCACCCACCAAACACATTCACGCACACAAACCCCCCTCCCGCCAGGCAAACTGCTGAAAGCAACAATACAGGGAAGTCAGATGTGGATTGCCCAAGTAATGAAAATAAGGCCATAATCATTTCAAAGGTTTTTCTTGTGGGCCTTGAGACCTTGCAAGTTGAACACCCCACCCCTTTAGCATGAAGGAGTGTATTTCCATCTAACCTAGCCTTGATAGCTCCTGAAATGGAATTCTGGATGTTGTAAAACATTTTATATTGACAGCACTTCCTGCTCTAACAAGAATTTGTATTGGTATTTTGCAATAAAACTTCATTAAGCATATGTTATGCATATTGGAGTTCAAAGTTGGATTTTTGCGCAAATCGTGAATTAACCAATTTTTATTTAAAAAATGTGAAGACAGTAAATAATTAACAGAAAATGGATCATAAATGGAGGTTGAAGCAACATCTTACTTAACAGCAGTTCTAAAGAGAATAACAGAAAACTCTCGCTCACTGAAGAACATAAGCTCAACTAGTTATCCTCTGGTCCGAATTTTCCATCCAGTATGGAATAAACGTGTATGCTCACTGTTATATGCAAATAAATTTCTTCATTTATCTAATCCTTTATATCATTTCTAATGAAAGAACTATTTTCATTTGGAGAAACACCAGAGACTACCAGTCAACATCTGGCCAAATTTTCCTTTTTAACTTTTTGTCAATTGGTATGCCTAACGTAAAAGGATATCAATTTAAATTGCCAGAACTACAATAAACTTGAGAGGCAGAAACAATACCAAAAGAATGGAACACTGCAATACTTTGCCCTGTTTACAAGAATAGTGATAAACTAAACTATGAATGACGGTGTAATATCGCTTCGTAATACAACATATAAATTATTTACAACTGTATTATCATAGTGGCAGGAACCATCAGTGGAGGAATGCCAATGGAGATTATCAATGTGAATTTAGGACAAACAGGTAAACTACTGATCAATTCTACACATTTAAAACAGTTTTAGAAAAAACATGGCAACAGAATATTGAAATAGATCTGTTATATATTGATTTTAAACAAGCCTATTGTGTTAATAGGGAATAACTGATACATATAATGTTAGAATTTAGTTTCCTAAGTAAATTGCAAAGGCAAGTCAAAATTATTTAAAAAAACACAACTAACAAAGTTAAAATGCCGATCCGGATGGCTGAGATCGCTAAGGCAGTAAGTGCCGTAGCAATCTCGGACCGAAGGATCGCAGGTTTGAGTCCTGTCTCGAGCATGGTTGTATTGTGTTCATCGTTTCACACCCCAATCATCATATTGTGTCATCCTCATAGTTACCATACCATTACACGCAATAGTTCAGGATCATAGCCAGCCGACAGAATGGGCTGAACTGGCTGCATTCTGCCTAAATTCCACCTTGTTCCAGTACCAAGACCAATACTACGCCCAAGTGGAAGGAGCGGCTATGGGCTCGCCGCTGTCTCCCACCGCTGCCAATCTGTTCATGGAAGCTTTCGAATCAGAGGCTCTACGAAACGCCCTACACAAACCATCTCTCTGCGTGTGGTACGTCGATTACACCTTTGTTATCTGGCCACACGGGCCGGAATTATTAGAAGAGTTCTTACTTTTTCTTAACAATATCCACCGGAGCATCCAATTCACGTTGGAGACGGAAATAAACAACTGACAGCCGTTCTTACACGTCCTCGTTAACAAACGCGAAGATGGCACCTTGGGGCACGCGGTCTACCGAAAACAGACTCGCACGGACAGATACCTCACGCGGACTCACACCACCATCCATCAATTAAACTAGTAGTACTGAAGACACTGGCCATAAAGAGCTGTGAAGGTGTGTGACGAGCACTCTCTTCCCGGAGAACTCTAGAAGCTCGAACACACTTTCAGGGCCAACTGTCATTCCCAAGCAGCGATCAAGCGAGTGCTTGCCGGCGTTACGGGCCTCTCCGGAGGTTGCAGCCGTACCGACGGGCGCGGTGTCTCGGAAGGCCGCGGCAACGCCGAAGACAGTCACGCTTCTTCGGAGACAGAAGAGAGTGCCCTCTCCAGATTAGCCGTGATTCCCTACGTCCGCTGTGTCACCGATCGTGTGGGGAAATTACTACGGAAGAACAACATCCGTACGGTGTTCACGGCGCTCGAAAAGCTGCACAACGCCTTGGTACGCATTAAAGATGCGTTACCTCCTCTCCAGTCGGCAGGAGTTATTGAAGTTCCCTGCAGCTGCGGCAGGACGTATATTGGCGAGACCGGGCGTACTGTGTCCGAGCGACTCAAAGATTACGTCGCTCACTACAACAAGAACAACACCAACCGTTCGGCTATTGCGCACCACTCGGAGATTACGGGACATGCCATTGACTTTGACAAGACTCAGCTCCTGCACAAGGAAAACCGATACTGGCCGAGACGCATAAAAGAGGCATTAGAAATAAACAGACGTCCGCAAAATATCAACGCGGACGCAGGCCTCTCTCTTAACCACGCCTGGAAATCTCTCTTATCATCTACTCGGGACCGTCAGGGGGCTGGAATTTATGGATTCGAGTCGCGGAAGCTTACGTGTACACACGCAATAGTGGTCGCTAACGACCTAGTAGTACCCTGTAAGTCTTCATCCAAAAACGTTGGCTTCTTGGTTTCTTTAAAAGCGAATGCGGAACAAAATAAATGAAAGCCGGTCCGGATGGCCGAGATCGCTAAGGTAGTAGTGCCGCCTCGGGCATGGTTGTATTGTGTTCGTCCTTTCACACCCCCATCATCATTTTATGTCACCCTCATAGTTACCATATCGTTACATGCAATAGGGGTCACTAATGACCAAGTAGTTGATGCGACCTTAAATCCCCCCCCCCCCAAAAAAAGAGTTAAAATACAAAACATGTTATTATAAAGTTTCAGAACTATTGCTGGTCTCTATCAAGGTGATTCACTATGCACCCGACTATTTAATGCGTGCTTGGAAGAAGTAATCAGAGCCATCAAAATAAAACCAAGAATATTTAATAGAACTGTACAACTTTTAGCATCTGTAGGTGATGATTTTATCTCAAGCAGAACACAGAACTTTCTCGCAAAAAGTGTAGCAAAATTAATAACAGCTGCTAATGTAATTGGTCTTACAATTAACTGCA